TTTAGTCAAATGTTAAGGGGTGAGTATAATTTACCCAACACTTTTTGATATAGATTTTTTGATACTTGGATAGGACTTCCATAAAATATTACGGCTACAACATTATGATTGGGGTCTCAATATTCTAACCTCCATCCAAATTAGTGAATTTGGGTTCAAATCAATTATAAACCCGAATTCAAACCCGATTACTCCAATTTGAGAAGCAAAATCAAACCCACCTTGTACTGAACGTTATTTGTTTCTGTTAATTATCACTGCACGAAGTCATGCAATTTATAGGTAAAAACCTTAGTGATGAAAAAAAGAATTGTACAATGCATGTTTCTTGACATATGGCAATCTTTTCTGCTCAGATATAGTATTAGTGTAATCTTCCAAACTAGTAAAGTTTGATAAGAAAATATGTTTTAGAGTCTTATGAAGGATGAAATGTGTGTGAGAGAGAGAAAGGGGTAGGTTTTGCCAAACATATAATAGTAGAGGAGGAAGACCATAATAATCTTTCCCGTTATTTGGAATATGTAAAGAAAATTGTTAGAGAAAAACTATTGAGTCTGGTCAGACGTCATCGGTTCGAATTTTAACAATTTTTTAGAATTAAATTATAAAAAATTTATTAACATCAATTTTTTTGGTAAATTTTAGGGTAAAATATATTTTTGATTTACAAATTATGTCTTTTTGTATAAATTTGGTGCTTAATTTTTAAATTGTATCAATTTAGTCCCTCAATTTTTTTATTTGTAATTTATTAACGATAGTTGTCACATGCATTTCATAGGATCACACTTGAAGCACATTCTTTGGAAATTTTAGGGATTAAAATGACACAAACTGTAAACTAAAAGAATCAAAATGATACAAGCTATAAATTTATGCTCCGTTTGATAAGAATGATGAAAAGTAAGAGGAATATACTTTTTATCCTTCAAGAAAGGAGAGTAGGAATGATACACTTTCATTTCTTTGAGTTCATTTGTTTAGCGGGAGAACGATAGAAAATGCAAGAAAGAAAAACTTTGTAAAATTTTAATGTGTTTGGTAAGCATGAAAAGGAAAATGATAGAAAAAATAATTTTCTTTAATGCTTGAATTTTCTCAAAAATAACCAACTTTTTTTTCTTGTAAAAAATACAAAGAAATACAAGAAAGTTGTGATTTATAACTAATTTTCCATTTTACCCTTATTTTTCTTAAAATATTTTATTAGTTATTAATTTTAAAAATTTTGGTATGAATTTGATTAATCATATAATTTGGTCCAAAAACTTTGTGTTAGTGATTGTCTTAGAATTAAGTTTCAAGCCACTTTTTTTTAAAAAATTAACGTTCAATTGTAATTATATATTTTTTTTCATTTTAGACTAATTTAATATAATTAAGAGTAATTTAGACAATTATAAAAAATTTCTTATAACTTTACTTTCTTTCAATTAATAAAATATATTTTTTTTAAATTTTCCTGTAAATTTTTCATTCTAACTAAATATATGCACAAAAATATATTTTCTATCAATTTTTTTTTCTTTCACTTCACTTTCTATCATTTTTACTTTCCATCATTTCTTTCTTCCTGATCAAATGGACCCTTTGTATTTGAAAGAATGAATGAAAAATAAAAATAATTAAAATTTTTGTTTGATTGTTAAGATTAGGGGTGAAAATCGACTCGTGTCGAGTTATGTGAGTTTGTGTCCAACATTAGTAAAACCAAACTCAACTCATTTAACTAATTGTATCGTGTCGAGTTGACAAATTTATTTTCGTGTCGTATTCATGTTGATCTACATAAACTTTGAATAAAAAATTTGATGCTAATATTCTATTTTCACTTAATTAAATTCATTCTCATACTTTTTCTACAAACTAAAATTAATTTAAATAAATATAATAATAATAATGATAATAATAATAATAATAAAAATATTTTTTTATATAATAATTATGTCAGTATTTAATAAATAGTTACAAATAATTAATATTTATATCTATAATACTAATTAAATATATTAATTTCGTGTTACCATACAAATGAGAAAATAAAGAAAATGTTTACTTTTAAATAAACTGGTGGATTGTGTCAATTTTGGATTTGATGGATTGAATTGAATATGAACTGTTTATATTTCGTGTTCGTATTTCAGGTCATTTTCGAGTTCCTATTGAGTTATAATCAATTTCGTCTTATAAAATTCGTGTCGAGTTTGAGTCGCGTTATTATATTAAATCGAAAATTCTCACTCCTAGTTAAGATAGAAAAAATATTTTTTTTATTTTAACTTTTTATTTTTTATTTTTTTAAAATTATTTATATATGAAATTAATATATACATACTATATGTATATATCAAATGATATATAGATAAATAAGATACATTTCAACATAAATAATTAACTTTTTATTCACTTTCCTTCCTATTTTGAAGGGATTAATTTTGAAGAGTTGGAAAAAAAGTTTAATCATCTACTTTTCTATTATTTTTTATTTTCCTTTCTTACCAAATATGATATTTTATTTATCTGTATAATTTTTTATCTTTTAAATTTTTTATTTTTTAATTTTTTTATTATACCAAATGGAGTATTAAAGAGATAAAGTAACTCTTCAAGTGTGGTCATGTTAACATCTTTATTAGTCGATCCAAATTGTCATTTTTAATTAGATATCGAAGTGACACAAATTAAAAAATTAAGTGTATAAATTGATACAATTCAAAATTTGGGGATCTGACACCATGCTTATACTTGATAAACTATCAATGTATTTTATCCTAAATTTTATATCAAAAAAAATACAAATAATATTTTACTTTAAAAAAAATGACAGATAAAACTGATGATTAGCGCATGCTATTTAAAACTCTTTTCAGTCCTTAGTCATCATCACTCATGTTATTCCGGTATAATTTGTGAACATAATACGTAAACTTAATGGTTGTGTCGTNTGTGGAGTGCATGCTATTTAAAACTCTTTTCAGTCCTTAGTCATCATCACTCATGTTATTCCGGTNAGCGCATGCTATTTAAAACTCTTTTCAGTCCTTAGTCATCATCACTCATGTTATTCCGGTATAATTTGTGAACATAATACGTAAACTTAATGGTTGTGTCGTTGTTATTGAATTATTAATCGATTCTCTTATTAAATATATTTTATAATGTTTAGAAGTGATCTAATAATCAATTGTGTGTTTGGTGGGTTATTTTTGTTTTTCAAGACTAATGTTTTTAAATTAATTTAAAGGGTTAATTATAAATTGTACCTCAGAAGATCGTTTGAATTTTGATTTGTACCTCCAAAAATCAAAAATCTCAATTTACACCCTCAAAGNTATAAATTGTACCTCTGAAGATCGTTTGAATTTTGATTTGTACCTCCAAAGATCAAAAATCTCAATTTACACCCTCAAAGATATAAATTTGTATCAATGTTCACACCCATATATCAAAAATCTTAATTTGTATCTTCAAAGATAAAAATTTGTATCAATATGTACCTAAAATTAATCGTCGTCAATTTGCGGCCTAAAACTAAATTGATAAATTATATTTAGATCCCTTTATGCTTGTCACTTAATCATTTAGATCCCTTCACATTTAGAAATATTTTTCCTACATCTCATGACATTTATGCACGTGTAATACGTAACCCATTTTCATTAATATCTGTTAATGTAACAGTTGAAAAATATAATTTTATCTTAATAAAAAATTATAATTTCATATTACCTTTTATTTTATGGATCTAATTTACTCTACAATTCAAAATCAAGTTTACCATTTGAATTTTCAATATAAACACCTTTGGTGAATTTCGTGGTCTATTGAACATTCAAATGGTAAACTTGATTTTAAACTTTTGAGTATATTGAACCCTCAAAATAAAGGGTAATATGAAATTATAATTTTTTATTAGAATAAAATCATATTTTTTTATGGTTATATTAATAAATATCAATGAAAAAAGGTTACGTGTTATACTTGCACAAATGTCATGAAATACAAATTTATATTTTTGAGAGTGTAAATTAAAATTTTTAATTTTTGAAAGTATAAATTAAAATTCAAATAATTTTTTAGGGTGTAATTTATAATTAATCCTAATTTAAATTACGACGATAGATTTATAGCTCTCGATAGAAATTAGAGCAAACCTATTATCCTATAAGAATATATATATATATATAATTACAATGCATCAAGTGGGTAAATTTTGTACGAAAAGCATTAGTGCTTGTCAGCCACCCTCCAGTCGACCCTTTTGTTCAAACACTAACCGTACTCACCGTCATATAGTACTACTACTGCAATTCAATTCTCTCACTCTCTGTTTCTCTCTCCTGAGACTGGTCGTGAGAGAAAATGGAGTCTTCTCCATACCAAACTCTGTATCATTGGTGTCTTTGAATTTACTCTTCTGCCACAACCTCAATGCCTTATGTAACACACAAAGTCACAAACACACTCCTTCCTACCCTCATCGTATGAATCCCATATTTTAATACAACTCCCTCTGAATAATCTTTCAAAACCAAGAAGACTCCTTTTTTTACTCGTCCTTCAAACTCCTCTCTCTCTCTACCCAGAATCTCTCAGTTTCAGAACTCTCTCTCAGGTCTCTTTCCACACCCCAAAACCCTTCTTTTCTTCTTCTTCTNCTCTCTCTCTACCCAGAATCTCTCAGTTTCAGAACTCTCTCTCAGGTCTCTTTCCAAACCCCAAGACCCTTCTTTTCTTCTTCTTCTTCTCTCTCTCCTCTTCAAAATTGAAGCTTTCAATCTCCAAATCGCACGACGTAAAGATTTGTGTAGCTTATCACAGAGAAAATTCACGTCCATATTTGTATCTGTACACGTACATTAATTTGTTTTTGTATAATGAAGTTCTGATTTATCTTTGTATGCTTTTTGTTTTTGTAGTGAATTTGAGGGGCTTCAATGGTGATTTGATCCATTGTGAATTATAAATTTTCTGGGATCAAAATGCGAGTGAAGGAAATGCACCCTCTGTGTTGTATATCGCTAGAAAGCCCAGCGATCGGAGACCAGTCGCCAGAGCCGATTCTATTGAGAACCGGCTCTGTTAACACGATATCCGGCGGATCTGATGGCAATGCCGGACTATCTGACGTCAGCTTCGCGGGGCTACTCTACAAGTGGACCAATTACAGCAAGGGTTGGAGATCCAGATGGTTTGTGCTGCGTGATGGAGTCCTCTCTTACTCCAAGATCAAGATCCGCCGGCCGGGAAGTCTGGCTCTTCTTCCGGTAGCAGATGACGTCACGATCATTGGTGACTTGTCCTCCGATCGCCTTTCGCGTCTCAACAGTTGTGGACTACGTAATAAGCAGCAGAAAAATGTTCGCACTGTTCACCTCAAGGTAATGTGAGGGAAAGAGAGTTTTTTTTTTGGGGTTGGGGGGGNTGATATATTCTCACATCATAGCTGCTGCTCCTGCTAATCCAATAACTTAATCTAACTCTATGTTTTTCTTTTGAACGGTAGTCTATTTCTATGTTAGCTAGACTCTTATCAATCTTAAAAATTTGCGGTTACATTTCATATCTTTTGGTCATCTCCAAGCTCTATTTGGAAGATACTTGGTTTTGTCATGGTGGTGGAGCCTTCTGACCCACATGGGTTTTTTTTCCTAGTAACCTGATAATGGAAACACCGAATTCAGGTTAATGATTATTATTCTGGGTACCTTCATTTTTTCTGTGAAATATTTTGCTTTATGGTTTTCCAGGGCTTGGAGCTAGTAATTTTCCTTTTCGTTTGAATTTATAGCTATTCAGACAACAGTAACAATTGTTTTGAGCAGTTGTCACGATATTTGCTTAGTAGTTCAGTTTTTTCCCCGACAGTATTACATTGTTACTCCTATTGCATTAACTTGTCAAAACATCGTCTAGAGATAATGTTGGGTAATGCAAGGAAGTTGCAATATAAGATTATTATGGGATTATATCTAACAAACAGACTCAATTCTTAACAGATATCATCTTTTCGAGAGAGCAAGTCAGATGATAGGCGGTTTTATATATTTACTGCTACAAAGACCCTTCATTTGAGGACTAATTCGAAGAAAGAAAGGCAGGCCTGGATAGAAGCTTTGGTCTCCACAAGAAGTCTTTTTTCACTGAGACCCTTGAATGGTAATACATCCCTGGTACCAAATGACATATCTCTATCAACTGAGAAGCTTAAGAAACGTTTGCTTGAAGAGGGGATCAGCGAGGTACTTGTCAAAGACTGTGAGCAAATAATGCTCTCTGAGTTTTCGGAAATACATGATCAATTTAAAGTTCTTTGTAAAGAGCGGTCCAATTTGCTTGACACATTAAGGCAGTTGGAGGTAACTTTTTAAATCATTAGAATGTGGAAATGCATGAAATCTTTTCATGGATTTGTTGATTTAATGCTGGCAATATTTACTTTATGCAGCTGAAATCAATAAAATGATGGCAATATTGTTGTAAAATGCAGAGCTGGGGACCTTTTATTCATCTTTCCTCTAAATAAAAAATCCGATCAATAGACTCAATAAATTATTCATACTGATATCACATAAGTGGTGCAGTACTCACATTTAATCCATATGAATCCTTAATCTTCCCCATGTGTTCTGTCTGATTAAACATATTCTTGTCATTTTGTCTACCTTGGAATGACAATCTATCAAGTGTTTCTCTTGTCCTTGGAATGCATTTTAGTTATGACAAATTTTCCAAAGAGGTGGCCTTTTGGTCCTTACACATGAACAAACCATCCTATCCAATTCAACACTGCATTTTGTCCTCAAGTAGCCCGCCCGTATTTTTGTGCCAGTGAGGGATATATGTATGCGCTATGGATCTTGCCACTCAATCATGGGGGCAACTTCATGTTGAGCAATTTTATTTCACCACTCACTAATATGTTAACTGATTTTGAGAAATTGNCTAATTTTCCAAAGAGGTGGCCTTTTGGTCCTTACACATGAACAAACCATCCTATCCAATTCAACACTGCATTTTGTCCTCAAGTAGCACGCCCGTATTTTTGTGCCAGTGAGGGATATATGTATGCGCTATGGATCTTGCCACTCAATCATGGGGGCAACTTCATGTTGAGCAATTTTATTTCACCACTCACTAATATGTTAACTGATTTTGAGAAATTGTGTACGCTTAGATATGGTAATGCATTTTCCAGGACAGTCTTTGCAGGAGCACTATTACAAATCTGTTTATGTTTATGTTTATGTTTATGCTGCTTGATTACATTGTTGTGTTACTTTTCTATGGTCAGACCTCGTAGCATTATATATAAATCGTTGACAGAAGTTTTTCATTTTGAAAATTTGTTTTTAAATCTCTTGGTTGAAATATAAAAACTAAGGACACAGTTATATTTTTTACTTGAATAAGCTATTGGTGAACTTACAGAAGCTTTTAGGACTGGAAAAAAAAAAAAAGGATGGACAAAAGGTTAGTAGATTCTTGATGAATCTCTAGGAAGTGTATCACCCTTCGTTCCTCTAATAATGCTCTAGAAGCTTTTAGTATATCATAGTTTACTAAGCTCTTCCCGGAGTGACCTGGTGTTTTCTTTTTTGGGCATTCTTTCATATACATGTATACACATATGAATACAAGTATTCAAAGAGGCCTGCGGTCAAGAACTTTCACCTTGAGAGAGATTTTGATGGGAATGGGCATCAGAGTGAGTGTATGTGGGGTAAACATAAACTCAGACCAGGTGAATATGCTAGAATCGAATGTGCCATTTGTTCAAATGATAAGCATTGCTAGAACATCTTTGACCAGCAATTAGCCACAGAAATGTGTCACTGTCGCCTGCAAATTCTTTGTCTAGGTAGTGGTAGTTGATCTGGCTAGACTACCTGGCTTCCTATATAATAGTACAAAATTTGGAAGTCAGATCAGTGCCACTTCTATATGTTCTCTGGTAATGTTTGATTGGTTGGTCAATTTGTTTAGTTGTTATGTTTAATGTTTGCAGTCTCTGGTATACTTGTAACTTATTATATATTGAATGGTTACTTGATTTGTGAATGTCATCTGCCTGTATGGTCAAATAACTTCTTAATTTAAATATATAATTCACCTTTTTCATGTGCAGGCATCTAATATTGAAGTTGAAGCCTCTGGAGTTCATGATGGTGAATTCCAATTGATGAAGCACGGTAAATATACTGTTAATAACTAGTGTTATCTCTCTCCCTCCCCAACGTCCACCCAACACAAAGACCCTGAAAAAATTANGGATGGGAAATATATTGGTAATAACTAGTGTTATCTCTCTCCCTCCCCAACGTCCACCCGTGTTATCTCTCTCCCTCCCCAACGTCCACCCAACACAAAGACCCTGAAAAAATTAAAACCATGAATTTAATTCAATTGTCTCATCTATTTCTGGTAAGCTACATAAATTTAATGCACTTCAAAGGATGATACAGATTTGCATAGCTTTGACTTCCTATTCTTATGCTCCAGTTTGGAGACAGTAAAAACATGCTCTAGCAAAAGAAGCTTGTGTCTTTATTTAAAAGGAACACATGACAATTTTTTATTTTGCTTGACAAATTTATAGATTAAAAAGAAACTATGTGGAGTATTATTTTTATGTTCAATGTTCTAGAGATGTGAGAACCTCTGTTAGTAAAAGTCAGCAAGAAGGGCTAATACAACAACAATCTGCTGATCACTGGAAGATTGTCTTCAATTTGTTTTTCAGGCAGTCTGGGAAAAATATCTAAACCATGTTGTTCATGGATATTGCAATATCAATTCTTGAAAACTTCACTCTGCTCGTAAAACATGTCATCTGTTAGGATGCATTCTAAATTTTTTGGTTTCTTGCTTTGATATACAGAATGCAGCACAACTGAATCATCTGATGATGTTGAGAAACAAGAGCTTGAGGAAGTGTCGGATGAAGAGGAAACTTATTTCTTTGACACAAAAGAGTATTTTCCTGAGTCAATTATTAGTTGTGGGTTTCTAGGTGCAGATCACATGGATAAGTGTGTGGAACTGGAAAATCAAAAGGACCATACAAATGGAATCAATGCTAAGAAGGATCTTGTTGACTCAACAGAGCTACAAATCGAAAGGCGAAAGAAGCTTCCGGATCCAGTTGAGAAAGAAAAAGGGGTTAGCCTTTGGTCTATGATCAAAGACAACGTTGGAAAGGATCTCACTCGAGTCTGTCTTCCTGTGTACTTTAATGAGCCAATATCATCCCTCCAGAAATGTTTTGAAGACTTGGAGTATTCTTATCTTTTAGATCGGGCATATGAGCACGGTAAAGCGGTACGATCAAGATACATTTCCTCTTGTTTCTTTTCGTCATAATTGAGAGTTAATATTTTCTTATCTGTGTATGTACTAGTAAACAAATCCTTGTTCCTTCTGTCCTCTACTTTTTTCTTCAACATCACTTCTTTTGCCAGTATTGTTTTTCACATGAGTTATTTCTTATGTGCAGATCAATATTAATGGTTCTGGTTCCAATGGGATTTCTAAATATGCGTGCAAAGTGTTGCTATTACATGAAATTAGTTTTGGTATTGAGTTCCTTTACAATGATAGTTAAACATGTATTTGCTTTTACAATTTGCTAAATCAGGATAACTAATGAATTTTATGCATTTCTTATTCATGGCATCATTTGAAATCAAAAAGTGTCCACTCCTACTTTCTCGTGGCCACATGGATGTTTATTTTTTTGGGGGGTTAATAAATGGATGTTTATCTTACCTACTTGTGTTTATAATAAATTACCGTGATACTTCCTTTTTGGGTGGTTCCTTTTTGAATTATTGCAAAGGAAATTGATTTTAATAAGTTTGTCTCATATCTGCATTTTCATGGGTATGCACCTGGAGCAGCCAATATTGGTGAAGTAAATCAAGCATCATAAGGTTAAGCTTTCAGATTTTTCAAATACTAATTATGTTCCTAATACTTATCTTCATATTATGGTTTCACCAAAGCCTGAGAATGGCTTGTGTTTTTCCTTCGCTGGTCCAGCATTATGTCCTATCAGCATTTTCATTTTCTTTTTCTCTTCGGCCTTCCCGAGGGGATGGTTGTAAGAGCTACCGGCTGTTCTATGACTGCTATTACAATAACTATAATGGTTGGCAAATAATTACTCTAAACATAGGATTGTAACTTTTTGAGTCACTATCTAACGTGTGTGGAGGGACAGTAATGGTAGAATTTTCAATGACCAATTCAGCGATTGAAGACTATCAGGCAGACTAGTAGAAAGAATGGCATCATTGAAGTTTAGAGAATCAGTCCAGAACCAACAACTTATACTGATTTGGCAGTTGCATTATTTGATCTGGTGTCGTCCTGAAGGACTACTGAATCGAGATTCTTTTGATTTCTTTGGATATGCAGGAATAAAAAAGGAACAAAATAAATGTGCCATGGTATTTTGTAAGATAGATCATACTTTTTGGACAATCTGTTTAGGGCACCCAGTAATTGAGGTCACCTCTCACAGATTTGTCACTGCCCTTTACATAGATGTGTTTTCACTTTTGGTTACTCCTGCCAGAGTTCACCCCTTCTCATTTACATCAGGGCCGGCTATTTTACTCTCTGAAAAAAAGAATGTCACTTCTTGTTTGTTAAGACCTGGCATTGCTCTCATGCCGTCTTCTTTTTTGCTTCCAGGGAAAAAGTCTCTTAAGAGCTTTGAATGTTGCTGCCTTTGCGGTCTCTGGATATGCTTCATCTCAAGGCCGGCACTGCAAACCTTTCAATCCTTTGTTAGGGGAAACTTATGAAGCTGACTATCCTGAGAAAGGAATTCGCTTCTTTTCTGAGAAGGTGAGTACCTGCTGAAAAAGTAGGATTATTGTTGAATAAATATTGTAGTCCTATAATTAATTTGAGATTGCGATATGTCAAGAGTGCTTAAGTAAACCTTACACAGAGCCAACTGTGGTACAGAGATCAACAGAGCCGTACTGAAATCCTTCAAAATGTTCAGTGTGCTTGTCCACAACATGGACTAGTTGAGTAAAGGATACAAATCTGCAACATTTTCAAAAATACTCATTAACCCATCCGATTTCAATTTGATGTAAAATGAAAATTTTCTAAATGAAAATGTCTGATTTGGCCACAATTTGTGAGTTACTTTGTTGATGACAAAAATACTCAAATCTTAACTGAATTGGTAGCAACAGAAACTTAAAAACATAAGGAGATCCTTCCAAGGTCTAAAATTTCCGAAAATGGTAAAAGATGCTCACAACATTATTGAGCATAATTTGACCTGTTCTGATAATTATACATCATCGTATCTAGTAAATATTTGATCCATCACAACGTCTGCGCTTATCTTTAAGTTNTGTTGATGACAAAAATACTCAAATCTTAACTGAATTGGTAGCAACAGAAACTTAGAAACATAAGGAGATCCTTCCAAGGTCTAAAATTTCCGAAAATGGTAAAAGATGTTCACAACATTATTGAGCATAATTTGACCTGTTCTGATAATTATACGTCATCGTATCTAGTAAATATTTGATCCATCACAACGTCTGCGCTTATCTTTAAGTTTAAACATGCATCTTATGGTTTTTCCATTGCTTGAAACAGGTTAGTCACCACCCAACTCTCATAGCCTGCCACTGTGAAGGTAAAGGGTGGAAATTCTGGGGTGATAGTAATATCCGAACAAAATTTTGGGGGAGATCAATTCAGCTTGACCCTGTTGGAACATTAACCTTAGAGTTTGATGATGGAGAGATTTTCCAGTGGAGCAAGGTGTGCAGTGTACATGGTTGTGTTTGTGCATTATACAGCTTATAATTTTTTGATCATATAGGTTCCAGGATTACTCATTTGGTGACGGCATTCTGAAACATGGTCATTCTGTCTTTAGGTCACAACAACCATTTATAATCTTATTCTTGGTAAAGTATACTGTGACCACCATGGATTAATGCATATACAAGGTAATCGCCAATATTCATGCAAGCTCAAGTTCAAAGAGCAGTCTATTCTTGACCGAAATCCTCACCAGGTAAATGTGGGGATCATATAGTTACCCTATTCAATGTTCACCTTTTTTGCATATTTGATAGCCCACATCAGTGTGTGTTGAATTGCTGCACCACTAAAATATGGAATATAATGCCTGGGCTGATTTAAAAAATCTCCCTACTGCACAGGTTGATGGATTTGTTGAAGATATCAGGGGTAAAAAAGTTGCNGCCTGGGCTCCCTACTGCACAGGTTGATGGATTTGTTGAAGATATCAGGGGTAAAAAAGTTGCAACCTTACTTGGGAAGTGGGATGATAGCATGTATTATATAAATGGAGACGAGGGCAGCAAGGTGAAGAATTTGTCTGACACATCTTTATTGTGGAAAAGGAGTAAGCCGCCTCCTAATCTCACTCGTTACAACTTAACATCTTTTGCAATAACAGTAAATGAGTTAACGCCAGGATTGCAGGTAGAGATGACGATTTGAATCTGTTTCTCAAATGCATTTTCATATTCCTCTTATGTATGCCTAATCATCTTTTATAGTTGTTTCTGATCCCGGGTATTTGATCACGGATTAAGGAGAAACTCCCACCCACGGATTCAAGACTTAGGCCAGACCAGCGGCACTTAGAAAATGGGGAATATGACAAGGCAAATGCAGAGAAGCTACGATTGGAGAGGCGGCAAAGGATGGTATGTGTCACACCCTTTGTGTGTTAGTTATGTACCGGTTCATGCTCACTGGGCTTGTTGACTGTTCAATTATCAACCTTAGAAATCCTATAGCCAAGCACAATAAGCATTCTTGTATGGCTGCTCTAGAAGAATGAGTGTGTGTTTGATTAACATGCAGATTTGAGGCTAGATATTTGATCATTCAGTAACTACAAAGATGCTACTGTCTAACTGTTTGATCTTGCCATTTTGTGATTGGTTCTGCAATATGATCATTCTGCAATTGTTCTTGCACAACTACTTTACTTTTGTGAAGTTTTATCAATGCATTGTTTGTTCTGACATCAACAAAACACCCTCTAAACACCAGAATCAGTTTTTAACTTATTTATTTTCAACAACAATTGATGGAGGAGATTTTTATATGCATATCTTTGTTATCGTTTCTCAATGGTCGGCAAGTAGCAAACAATAGAACCTCAGATATGTCAGATGATAGAACAACTTTAACTCACAACCACATGGATCTAGTTTACATCTTGGGATGGCATTTGTAGAAGATAGGTTGATTACACAAACCATATGTCACCATAAANAACCACATGGATCTAGTTTACATTTTGGGATGGCATTTGTAGAAGATAGGTTGATTACACAAACCATATGTCACCATAAATCTGAGGGCAAAATAGTAAAAAATTGGAATCTTTAAGAAATTGTTGCGTCTATGGACCATTGTTGTAGCAAAACTTATAATATATCCATTTTTCTGTCTATCATCACCTAAACACACATGATGGACTGAATATGATTTGTAATGTGGATGCTGTAACTAGGTAGGTTCTTCTGTGACGTGTCAGAGCATCAGACAGATTAACCAATAATTGTTAAGGTACATTATGTTGGTTCGAACTTGGACATTTGAACATCATCAAGCATACTACTTTGTGCACATAGTCGAGGTCTTGTTCAACATGCGAGTCAGACTGGTATATATATATATATATATACACATATACATATACATATAGATATTGATGGGGGATAGCCATTCTTACTTGCATCCCTTGCAGTCCAGGAAGTTACAAGAAAATGGGTGGAAACCTCGATGGTTCCAAAGAGAAGGTGTTGATGGACCCTTCCGTTATGTGGGTGGTTACTGGGAAGCACGACAGGATGGAAAATGGGATGGATGCCTGGATATATTCAGTGATTTTTAATGATGACCTTGTTCATTGACTGAAGGGTCATTATTTTTACCAAGGTATAGCAGTACTCCTGGTAAATTCCTCTACTATTGAGATTGCCGTTACTTGTCCCTACACACATCCAAGGTGTGGGAGCTTTCATTGGGCAGTTCTATACTGTATCCCCTTTGTTGTGTCACACACCCAACTACCCACACACACACACACCCGCACACGCATACACTCGCACACATTTTCTGCCATTATACCTATATTGTGTATCTAATGTAGTGATTTTCACCAGAACTGATTTTCTTACATTGCAGCTAATGCAGGACCAAGTAAAAGCCTATGAGGGCTGTTGCAGAGCAGGCTTTGCACATATGTAGACTAATTATTGAGGCTCACAACCTTCAATTCCAGGGGACTTGGGCGTGAAGAATCACTCTTTTGGTTAGTACATGTTGGTTATACCAGTCAAATCTCCTAGTTATCATATTGTGCAGAGATACATTTTGTGTAGTCTCTCTCTCTCTCTCTACATTGGTTATAGCTCCTTCGACTTAGCTAGCTGCTTGCTAACCATTTGATTTGAGAATTATTTGTATTTTATTTTATCAATAATAAAGGAAAAATAATGCATTTCAGAAGTAGTCCTTGTTTAAAAGTCGTTTATATTTCTATAATGTCCTCCTTTTGATACCACCACAAAACAACTTGAGGACAGGCTTTCTTGCTCTAATGTTTAGAGCATGGAGGAGGATAGTCCAACATCTGCCCACTAGTATATCAGGCTCAATAAACTGCCTAAGATGGATCTATTGTTCCTGTACCAACACGCCCAATAAGCTAAACAGACTTTAACCCAAGAAAAAAACTTTACTGCCTGAGAATACGAACACACAAGCATGTCATGCACTACACCCATATGTCAACAAGCGATGAGGCCCAATTTTGCTCACTCTGAGGATCTTGACGATAATGGGCTTTATATCCAATGCTTAACTGATTAAAGTTCATCATGTTCGAGGTCCTGATAGTGAGCAAAATTGGGCCTCATTTCGATCCCATTAGACTGAGTGTTGGTTCTGCCCTGCTAAAAATTTTGTAGAAAGAACCTCAAAAATTATTCCTTTTTTCTGCCGAAATGTAATAAGAAAATAGTCTAATCAACAAAATCTAAGCTTATTATTTACTGATTGTTAATCCGATTAGTGTAATTCAACGTGTCATTGGAGTTTCCTGCTACACATGATCTGGTTGCACGTACTTGGGGACAAACAAACAAGTGAAGTGGTTGGTCTTGCAGAGCATCATATTAGTCAAACACTCTTAACCTTTTCATGTATGCACGAAACCTTTGCATGATTGAGTGATGACCATCCAAATTATTGGGTTTGTGACATTATTGAGGGAGAAGTCCACAAATTTACATTAATAGAGAGAGAGAGAGACCATCCGGACTGGTCCCACTGTAACTATGGTTATCCTATCAAGTTAGTCCAAAGCTTAGGTCTCTTGTGGATTGAAAAGGTAGGAGCCTTTATAGAAAAAATAACATCAAATTTTACTTTAAGTCTTCAACTAACCCTAATCTTTTATTACTTTCAACTGTCATTCATCGTGAAACCAGTGGTCTTAATGGAGGTGTGAGGTTGATGTAAAGCTATAATCTATATGGTTACCAAAAAGATTATGCACTTTCCATGATATGAAGCGCATGCAGCAAATAACTAGTAGGGTTCCTCTAACAAATACTTCTATTTCTGGTCGGCCGGAGTCCACCCGACTAGAGGGACGGAGAAATTAATAAAGTATAAAATATATTTTTAAGCTTTACCTTATTGAAAATGTGTGTCTGACTCTTTCCTCTCAAAATTTCCTAACCTTGTAGTCCATGTGAAATGGCTTTAATGCTGGACTTCATGATAGAAGAGCTCATGCTATGTAAAGTTTTTTATTTTTTGTGGATGAAAGCTGGCCCAAAAAAGAAACAATTAATTCGTGGTGTATGTATGTCATGGAAATGTGATTTGCAACTACTCATATTTGAGAGGTCACAATTTCTTGGCCAGACACAATTAATGGGACGATGTCGATGGCGATTGTTTCAGCTTGAAACGATAACGTTATCTACACTAAATTTGTTGATCAAAACTACTGCAACTATTAGATTAACAACAAACTTTACCCATTATTCGTAACTAACTATTTAAATTAAGATGAAGATGGCATAATGATTGATTGTTTGCCCATATCAGAAGGCATTAGCTTGTGGTATTGGTAATCCTTCCTTAGATTTTTTGTTTTCTTCGACGGTATGGGCGTTCGGAGTAGCTTACTCATATCTCGATTAATCATTTCTCCGATCCGATAAAAGGTAGACCATCCATGTTAGGACTAGAGTATTCACGAGGGATAAATCTCTTATAATCTAACTCTAGTGAATTACAAAAATTTAAAGTCAAAGACATTTAATTTACAATTCGTTTTTATTATTATTTGAGCAAATTTTTCAAACTATCGATGCCGTGTTCCAAAATTTATGGTTGAGAATTGAGATGAGGTTTTAGTGCTAAGGCCTATCCTTTCCAATCACAAGGTCCATTGCCATCAATTTTTTATTTGATCACGAGACTACAGTTTGGAAAAATAGAGAAGTATCGGATTTCCCACTTTCAAAAATAGCAATTAAGAATCCACTACTGATTGACAACTTATAAATTATTTCAAAACTTCGGATTTATTTGGTTTATATCTCAAAAAATTGTATCCGAAAATAATTTTTGAGAAAAATTTTAAAAAAGTTTTTTTGAAAATTTTCAAATTGTAAAACCTATTTGGTTATATATTTTTGAAAATAGTTATAGAGAACAAAAAATTATAAAATCTATTTGGATAATAACCTACAAAACTCACAATTGTATCTGAAAATAGTTTTTATTGTTGCGATAGAGAGAGATAGAGACGCAAATCTATGTTGCACAGCGTTGTTGTAGACAGAGGGAGAGAGCGAGAGAGAGAGAGGGAAAAAAAACGTTGTTGTATTTTGTTGTTAAGGAGATTCGAAGGACAGATCTCATGAAAGACCTAAAATTGTCTCCGTATTTCCAACGTTTTAAAAGAAAACTCTGAAAATAAGTGTGGCTTATTTTCTATTTTTTTACTCAAATTCTCATTTTTTTNCTTATAATCTGACTCTAGTGAATTACAAAAATTTAAAGTCAAAGACATTTAATTTACAATTCGTTCTTATTATTATTTGAGCAAATTTTTCAAACTATCGATGCCGTGTTCCAAAATTTATGGTTGAGAATTGAGATGAGGTTTTAGTGCTAAGGCCTATCCTTTCCAATCACAAGGTCCATTGCCATCAATTTTTTATTTGATCACGAGACTACAGTTTGGAAAAATAGAGAAGTATCGGATTTCCCACTTTCAAAAATAGCAATTAAGAATCCACTACTGATTGACAACTTATAAATTATTTCAAAACTTCGGATTTATTTGGTTTATATCTCAAAAAATTGTATCCGAAAATAATTTTTGAGAAAAATTTTAAAAAAGTTTTTTTGAAAATTTTCAAATTGTAAAACCTATTTGGTTATATATTTTTGAAAATAGTTATAGAGAACAAAAAATTATAAAATCTATTTGGATAATAACCTACAAAACTCACAATTGTATCTGAAAATAGTTGTTATTGTTGCGATAGAGAGAGATAGAGACGCAAATCTATGTTGCACAGCGTTGTTGTAGACAGAGGGAGAGAGCGAGAGAGAGAGAGGGAAAAAAAACGTTGTTGTATTTTGTTGTTAAGGAGATTCGAAGGACAGATCTCATGAAAGACCTAAAATTGTCTCCGTATTTCCAACGTTTTAAAAGAAAACTCTGAAAATAAGTGTGGCTTATTTTCTATTTTTTTACTCAAATTCTCATTTTTTTTAAAAAAAATTTGAGAACAAAAATATTAAACAAACAGATTTTAGATACTTTTAAAATTTTGAGAATAAAAAATAGTTACGGAACAAAACCAAACACGCCCTTCATTTTCTTGAATAAAGAGGCTAAAGTCCTCTTGATAGAGCATATTGGGTAAAATTTCACCTTTCTAATCTCTGTCTAATTACTTTATCTCCAAAAGTCCAAGGAGGATGGTCAGTCTTTCACTTGTCTCAATTGCTACCAAACTGTCTGTGTTCATTTTTCTTTCTAGAGGGTGTGAATTTTCTCTTTCGGCTGCGGCTGCGGCTGCGGCTGCGTTTTGTGGCCAATATTTTTCATTGTATTACTATTAAGGTAGGTCAAGTGATAACATGAATAAGTTATAAATTTATATGTTCTAAATTTGAATTTTGTCGACTTTTTAGTGTTAAGCCTTGAGAGATTTATTCTTTATTAATACCCTAATTTCGAAATGGATAACATACTTTTAACTAGACCGAAAAAAGGATTAATTAAAATGTATATAAATTAGACTGGATACTCCTGACCGTTGAAAAAAAAAAAACATTTTCCATTATATTCTACTCTAGATGTGAGAAATACACAGAAAACAAGTCCCATATCTATATATTTATCCTTTTTCATTCTTTTTGTACATAAAAAGGTCAAAACCTAGTTAAAAAAACAAAAAAGCAAAGCACAAAAATGACAACAACAAAAACAAACTTTTTAAGAAAAATCCTCTCATGCATGGCAGCCAGTCTCTTCCTCCTCCAACTCAATCCCCACCTCAGCAAGCCTGTTCTCCTTGTACACATACCACTTTGCACCAACCAAAAACAACACCAAGTTCAAAGCACTCAAAATTGCCAGAAGCCAGTAAAAGTCATAAAGCTTCCCTTGGTTAAGATTATCAGCCAACCATGGCTTCTTGTCCCCTGTCACATGGTGCACTATAGTAACTAAAATAGAACTGAAGAAAAACCCTAGTGAAAGTGTGCTCAAGAACAACCCTGTGCTCATTGTCTTCATCCCTTTAGGACACTCCCTGAGAAAAAAATCAAGCTGCCCCATATAAGTTAACGCCTCGCCGGAGCCAACAAGGAGGAATTGTGGAATTAGCCAGAAAACGCTTAATGGGAGAACGGCGTTTGCGTCATTCGTTAAACCATGAGACCTTGCAACATGTAATCGTTTGATTTCGGATAATGCAGCTGCTACCATTGCAAATATTGATAGGACTAGACCAGCGCCGATACGTTGGAGTGGGGTGAGACCTTGAGGGTTCTTGAGCAATTTTCTGGCAATCGGAGCAATAATCCGGTCATAGATCGGGACAGTCAAGAGAATGCTACCGACGAAAAAGGCGGTAAGAGAGGCTGCCGGAATCTGGAATGATTTGCCAATGTGACGGTCCATGGTGGTGGCTTGTGACACTGAGAATGTGGTCATTTGGGCATAGATAGTCCAGAACATTATTGTAGTAGCCCATATAGGTAACATTCTAATCACTAATTTCACTTCTTCCACATCAGTTAATGTGGAGAGGTACCACTTATTCACCATAGTGATTTCACTTGACATCTCAGGGTCCTTGATGGCTGCCTTGTCCAAGAAACTGCATGTAGAAAACAAAACCACCACGAAAAGTGAGGATCAAATGGTTATAATACGTCTATAATTTGATCATACAACTAAGACGACCCTATGTAACCATCCCATTCAACATTATTTGGCAAACAGGTCTCGTATATTAGTTTTCGAGACATCGTTATACTAATGTGAGATGCTCTAACAAAGTCGGACGCACGATGGTTAAGAGATAGACAAAAATGAAAAGAGGTTATAACAAATTGCACTTATGACACAAATAAAGGGAAATATTGAAAACAAAGAGACTCGTTCAAAGCCTCCTAAAATATATGCTAAATCATCCGATTCAAAATTAATATATCAAAAATAAAATTCAAAATGAATTTATCAAAAATAAATATTCTTGAAAAATCTAGCAGAAGTATAATTACATTGAGCTCAATCAAGTTGTAACAGACCCAAAAACCTAAAGGGANAATATATGCTAAATCATTCGATTCAAAATTAATTTATCAAAAATAAAATTCAAAATGAATTTATCAAAAATAAATATTCTTGAAAAATCTAGCAGAAGTATAATTACATTGAGCTCAATCAAGTTGTAACAGACCCAAAAACCTAAAGAGAGGGACAGATAGATACAGACAGTTATTGTCTTTTTGTGTGACATACGAACCCAAGAGATGTACGAAAAGGAAGGTCCAAAACACCCTTTGTTTACAGTTTTTTTTATATACATAATACACTGATTGAATGCCAAAAGAGAACAGCAAATGAAAACAAGACAAGGGGGCGCGAAGATCGATTGGCTGACATCCCTAGATTCCTTTTGGATCACACCGATTTAATAAATAGTATATAAAATTCAAAGAGAAACGACGGGTTCCCAAAAATATTTATCCAATTTTATATCTCAAATGATATGACATGACAAATTATTAGAGATCCGATCAAAAGTATACGGCTAGTCTCTTATTGAATTCAATCATATTTCAACCCAATCAATTTTATGGGAAAAAAATGGAATACCACAATACAAAGGGAAAACCATGTGACATGTCTTTTTGAGTAACTATGCATGTAGCTGTCCCTATTAATGGTAGCTAATCTATTTGGGGCCCACATTTTAGCATTGTAATTATTAGATCAATAGTAAAATACATTTAATACGGAGACCCAAGTCTGGTATATTATTTTGACAAGTATTCTAAAATGTCATTGATGGTTAGCTATCAATGATGGTCCTTGTAGATACGTTAACAGCTAGTCACCAAGTCTTATGTAGTTATTGAATTACTTTATCCGCTATGATTGATAATAGTTGGAATACTCGTGTTTNATGGAAAAAAAATGGAAAACCACAATACAAAGGGAAAACCATGTGACATGTCTTTTTGAGTAACTATGCATGTAGCTGTCCCTATTAATGGTAGCTAATCTATTTGGGGCCCACATTTTGGCATTGTAATTATTAGATCAATAGTAAAATACATTTAATACGGAGACCCAAGTTTGGTATATTATTTTGACAATTATTCTAAAATGTCATTGATGGTTAGCTATCAATGATGGTCCTTGTAGATACGTTAACAGCTAGTCACCAAGTCTTATGTAGTTATTGAATTACTTTATCCGCTATGATTGATAATAGTTGGAATACTCGTGTTTAAATAGGTAATACCTTGAGGCGTCCAATTTAGTATCTCCCAGAAGATACCCTGATTTGTATGGTTTGCTATTTGATTGTGTATAGCCCGAGTTTATTAAATAAAAAAATTCTACCCTACACCTCTAGTAGGGTATCTAGTATCTATAATTANACTCGTCGGGATAGTTGGAATAATCGTGTTTAAATAGGTAATACCTTGAGGCGTCCAATTTAGTATCTCCCAGAAGATACCCTGATTTGTATGGTTTGCTATTTGATTGTGTATAGCCCGAGTTTATTAAATAAAAAAATTCTACCCTACACCTCTAGTAGGGTATCTAGTATCTATAATTATTCATAGTTTGACCAATATAAAAGACTATAATTATTCAAAAGTTAGCTGGTCTGGTTGATCGAGTGATCGAACAAATTGTGCTACATAAATGTGTATATCCCGAATTCAAGTTATTTCTACAAATTAACATAAGTAATGAGTTTTTTACTTTTAATANTAAATAAAAAAATTCTACCCTACACCTCTAGTAGGGTATCTAGTATCTATAATTATTTATAGTTTGACCAATATAAAAGACTATAATTATTCAAAAGTTAGCTGATCTGGTTGATTGAGTGATCGAACAAATTGTGCTACATAAATGTGTATATCCCGAATTCAAGTTATTTCTACAAATTAACATAAGTAATGAGTTTTTTACTTTTAATATTTTTTATTTAACTTTTTAAATATAAAAATAAAAAGAAAGACCGATTGAAAAAATAATAATAAATAAAAGATGGGTTACAAGTAACATGCATCGCATCGCAGGGGTGGGATCACTAGTACCGATTGAAAAAAAACGTTGATTGTTTTAACAAAAAAAAAAAAAAACAGAAGTTGGTTAATTGGAGAAGGTTAATAAGAGTACTAACCGGAACTGCTTGCTATGTGGTAGCATCTGTTTCTTCTTCTTCTGGTAAGCTTCACCGGGAATGTCATCGATGTTGAAGAGAAGAGACGAATCGGACGGAGGTTCCAAATGTCTCTTCCTCCAAGCTGCGACAAACACCGAAGCGATCTGCGTCAATGGGCTACCCACAAGTTTCTTAAACCTGTAACTTCTAGTTCCCGACAAGAACACCGTCAAGCCAATCACTATAGCACAGGCACAGATTCCATAACCCCATTGTCTTCCCAAGTTGTCCTGAATGTACACAAGTACTGTCACTGCACAGAGAGATCCAAGGCTTATGAAGAAGAAGAACCAGTTAAAGAACTTGATCATTTGGGTCTTTTCTTCTTTGTCTGAATCGTCGAATTGGTCGGATCCGAAGCCAGAAACACTCGATTTGAGGCCGCCGGTGCCAAGTGCAGTGAGGTAGAGAGCAATATACAGAACCATCAGCTGTTTTCCAGTTGATGGAGTGCATGAAGGGCTGCCGACGGCACATTTTGGTGGCCGGAGGGAAGGAATTGCGGTTGAGATGGTCAATATGGACACACCCTATACATCAAAACAATCAACAAAAAAAATCCAAATTTTCAGAAGCAAGATCTAGAACAAAAATAAATAAATAAATAAATAATATGTATATATATTTGCTTTTTGTTATTATTTTTATAAAAATCATCTTAATCACACATCTTCAAAACTCGAGAAAAACAAAAAAAAGAGTCTGTGCCCCTCGAATATTCCAATGAATGTGGTGTAAGCCGAGGCGAAATTGTCAAGAACAAGGAAGAAATGTGATTGCAATAAGAAATAAGTGAACCGAAGTCATGGAGGAAGTACTCACAGTTGCTTGAACAGTAGCAAAGATGGTAATAGTTAGGTACCTGCAAAAAGAATACTTCAAATAAACAAATGGTATTGGTGACTAACACAAGGCTCATCATACAAAAATAGGTGTAAAACTCAAATCCAATCGAGCTCAAATTTGAAAAAAAAAAAAAAAAAAAGAATTAGCAAATTGGCTAGAAAAAAATGTTTAGAACTCGTCACGATCCCAAACCAAGTCAAGACAATCATCACCGATAGTTTGGTGTCGGCTCGGCTCGACTCGATTCGGTTATTAGAGATATGCTAACCTGCCGAGAAAAGTGTCGGCAATGAAGCCTCCGAGCAGACAGAGCATAAAGGAGGTGCCAAGAAAGTTGGTGACAGTGTTGGCTGAGGTAGCATTGCCCAAATGCATAGTTCCGGTTAAGTAAGTCACCAAGTTAACAGCAATACCAAGAGTCGTTAGCCTCTCACATGCCTCAGTCCCTGAACCAAACCACAAATCAAAACCAAACCCACCCACCCACAAAGTAGAAAATTAAAACCAACGATAAAACAATGATTTACAGAGAGAAAACGACAGATCTAGGAGAGGAAGGTAGGGGACCTAGAATCATGGCAGCGCTGGTCCAGCCACCGGATGTGGACCGTTTGGCCGGACGGCCCTTGTAGTCCCAGGCGTCTGAGAGAGTTATGGCCCCTTGTGTTTCGGGAAGTGCCATTGGTTAGACAGAGTTTTGCTGTGAGCTTTGTGAGCAGTTATATATAAAGGATAGAGCAGAGAGAGAGGCTTGTGGCAGGCTGTGTGTAGTGAAGTTTGGAGAGAGAAAGAGACTAAACTGGCCGTTGAATTGAAACCAAGGCCAATGTCCTATTTATAGCAAAAATGAGTTTTGGTAAGTCGATAACCTCATTAATCCATTAATTTTCTTTCCAAACAATTGAGAGCTTTATAATTAAGTGTTATTTGGAGCGAGATGTCTTCGGATACAATTCACCTATCATTCATTAAAATAGGATATANGAGAGCTTTATAATTAAGTGTTATTTGGAGCGAGATGTCTTCTGATACAATTCACCTATCATTCATTAAAATAGGATATATTGTAGGCATTTTAATTATGTTTGTTGAAACGAGTTTGTATCGGATAAAACGGATTCGTATCAAAAATCATTTCATTCATACTCTGATTCGTTTATTTAATTCGTATCTAACGAGTTATATTATATCGAATTTATATTGTGTATGAAGCTTGTATAATCAATATATAAACAAATTATATCGTGTATTTTTTTTTTATTGATTTCACTCATATCTAATTCATTTATTAATCGTGTCGTGTCGTGTCAAGTTCACTCGTTTACGTAACGAGTGACTTAAATAATTTTTATTAGTCTAATTTTGTGTTATGCTTGTGTCATATTAACGTGTCGTTTCATATAATCTATTATATCCAAGTGAATCCTTATCCTCATCCATTAATAGGGGATAATCTGGCAAGAAGAGATCTGGGTTCGTGTTATTTGAATTCATGACTTCTGCATAATCTCCAGATATACATAATAACCAGCAAAACATGTGCGTATTAGTAAAATCTCATCATCNCATAATCTCCGGATATACATAATAACCAGCAAAACATGTGCGTATTAGTAAAATCTCATCATCTGAACTAAGTGTTAACCTCGAGGATAAGTCTATGTTACGCCTGTTACCTATTTTAGTACAATCAATCATATTTTGATTGAAAGTTGTTATTTACCCTTTAGCGGCGTTTTTGTTTCAATTATAAAATATATGTGGTATAAAATTTTATATTCATTTTACTCTAATTCAATAGTATATTATATCCGGTGTTAAACTATAATCTCATCTTTCTCCTTGTTTATTTATCACAAATATTATCTGTGTAATACCTACTTAAAAAAGTCAACAATTGCGACTAACCAATTTAAAAGACAATTTTAACCTTTAAAAAGTCAAAAATTACGGCAGGCTTTTATATGGAAATTGTACCGGAGGATATTTCGGTATTTTCAATTTATAATACCTATACCAAAAATATAATACAAACTCTATGTGGTATTCATTAAGACCTTCTACAAAGTATTATGATTACTATTTATAGCGGGTCGGTATTACGACTTGAAAAATAGTACTGACTATAAAATACCAAACAAACAACGTATAAAATAGGCCCCATGTACTATTTACCTAATATCACCTTCTTATACCACTTTAATACTCAAAACAAAAGGCCCCCTAGTAATTTAAGTGGATATACAGATAAATTGTGAATTCAGATGTTCTAAATTCGAATTTTGATAACACATTGAAGTTAGATCATGAGAGATAAAATACCATAGTTTCGGTGTGTATAGTCTGCTTTTGATCGGACCAAAGATAAGATTAGTCGAAGTAAATATAAATTGATTTAGACATCTTTGACAAAAAAAAAGTCATTAATCTTAGTTTAAGTGGTTTGTAATCACTAATTATAAAATAATAAAGTAAGAAAAACTTTACAAATGTTAAAATTGGGGAAGGCTATGGTACCGACCGATCTAATTTCGGTACGACACCAAAAAAAAATGCGTGCCTCTCAATTTTTGTCATTAAATATTAAAAAGTTATTCATTAAAGGTGGGATAACTTTGCCAATAAAAGTTGTACTATTTTTTTTAAAGGTTGTAACCTCAGCTTCTGTTTTTTTGTGATATTTTTATTTTTTCTAATTGTAATAATTATAACTTCATATTCAAAGATAATAATTTTACCATAAATATTTATGACCTCACTTTCAAAGATTGTAATTTTACTTTTAATTATTGTAACATTACCTAAAGAGTTTGTATCTCACGTTTAAAGGTGATAACTTTATCTGAAGAGTAATAATTTTATTTTTGCAAGTAGTAACATTACATTTAATAGTCATGATCGATCATGATTAATTAAAATTGATCTCAATGCCAATTGTTTTTTGTGATTTCACTTAATTAGGATTGATCATAATTAATTAAGATCGATCCCAATGCCAAATTATTATTTTTATTATTATTTTTTTTTTGATTCCACTCAATTAAGATCAATCATGACTATATGAGATTGATCTTAATGCATTTAATGGTCCGAAAATTGGGATCAAACTAAATTTTTGGTGGTTCCAATTAAATAGGATTGATCATGACTAGCGGAACTTTTTTTTTTTGAATTGGTCCCGATCCTATATTTAATTACATTAAATTGACATGTAATTTCATAAAATTAATTAACATTTTATGAATTAATTTTAATTTTATGAATTTTAAATTAATGTTAATTTTATGAATTTTAAATTTATAATTTTGAATGTTAATTTAATACAATTGAAGGTCAATTTAATGTGATTTTTGATGAATTGAGTGTTAGTTGGATAAAATTAAAAATTAATTTCATAAAAATATATGTCAATTTAATGTAACTAAATATAGGATCAGGATCAGTTCAAGAAAAAAAAATCATAAAATTAACATTAATTTAAAATTCATAAGATAAAAATTAATTCATAAAATATTAATTAATTTTATAAAATTACATGTCAATTTAATGTAACTAAATATAAGATTAGGACCATTTCAAAAAAAAAAGTTCGACTAATCGTGATGGATCCTATTAAAATGGAACCACCAGAAATTTAGTTTAGTCCCAATTTTTGGACCATCAAATTCATTAAGATCAATCTCATATAGTCATGATTGATCTTAATTGAATAGAATCGCAAAAATAATAATAATAATAATTTAGCATTGAGATCGATCTTAATTAATTATAATCGATCCTAATTGAGTGGAATCAGAAAAAAAAAATTGGCATTGAAATCGATCTTAATTAATCATGATCGATCATAACTATTAAATGTAATGTTACTACTTGCTAAGACAAAATTATTACTCTTGAAATAAAGTTATCACTTTTAAAGATGAGATACAAACTCTTTAGGTAATGTTACAACAATTAAAAATAAAACTACAATATTTGAAAATGAAATTATAATTATTTATGATAAAATTACTATGTTTTGATATGAAGTTATAACTATTTAAGGTTAACTTATAATTAGTAAAAGTAAAAGTACCGCAAAAAAAGACGACTGAGGTTATAACTTCTAGAAAAATTGGTACAATTTTTATTGTCAAAGTTATCACACCTTTAGTGAGTAACTTTTTAATATTTTAATGACAAAAATTGAGGGCCACATATTTTTTGCGGTACCGTTCCGAATTTTGATCGGTCGGTACTATAGCCTATCCTCGTTTAAGTTATATTACATAAAAAAAGCAAATAACTAGGGTACCAAAAAATTATTTTTATAATTTTTTGTACTAAACTAAATATCAATAGGCAGTTTAGACTTCAATACTAATCAGGTGAAAGGAGTAGCATCTCATTTTCCATTTTTTTGTCTTCTTTTCCATGTTGGTTTCTATAGTTAGTTCCACAGCTCGAGTGAGCTAGACCACAAGACTGGATAGCATTTCCTAAATCCTGACCATGGTATTCCTAATCCAAGTGTAGTTACGTGACATTTAATACTAAGCCTTTGCATGTCATCATGTATTATGTAAGAACTATCTCATTATCCATACGTTAAATATAACCATGATACTATTTTGAATTACTCCTTAAAATTTTATTCCGACTTATTGAGAAACTAGTTTTGTAACTCTAATAATAACCAAGTTTAATCCATGACCAAGTTATGTATATGTGTATGATAACAATAGTAAAGTTATTTTATTATTACTCCTTAATATAACCATGATCTTAAAATAACTTACATTAAATTGGATTAAACTTGGTTATGTATATGTGTATGATATCCATGTTTTGTCAACCTTAGCTCCACGATCTCCTCTTTGACCTTCTGAGCTCACCAACAATTTTTGAGGAAAATGAAACTTCTATTTTTTGTGAGAAATGGCTGCCAAAAACATTGCTATCATACACATATACATAACCAAGTTTAATCCATGACCAACAAATTGGGAAATAGGTATTCGTGAAGAAGATCAGAGATCTAACCAGATGCAAAAAATAGAGCAGAGAGAAAGAGGGAGAGAACATATTTTATTTATTCACTGTTAAGTTACAATTACATTGATGCCCTATATATATATACACTTAAGAGAACTCTTAACTGACTAACAACTTGTACAGCTGGCAGCTCCTAACTAACTGCATGTGTTCTGAATTCCAACTGGATGGTTCTAGGCTACATCATAAGCTAAGGAGGATCATATACTGCAAGATTCTTAATATTCCCCCGCAAACTGATGGGAAGAGATCGAACCATCAGTTTGGTTCTAAGAGTAAGAAAACGTGAGGAAGGCAAGCCTTTAGTTAAAATGTCAGCAAGTTGATCATCACCAGAAACATAATTGACTTGAATATCCTTGCGAATCACTTTCTCCCGAATAAAGTGAAAATCAATTTCAATGTGTTTGGTGCGAGCATGAAAAATAGGATTAGAGGCAAGGGCCAAAGTTGATAAATTGTCACACCAAATCACAGGAGTAGCTGAGAGAAACACATGAAGATCACACAGAAGTTTTCTACACCAGTTGACTTCAGCTGAGGTATTTGCAAGAGCCCTGTACTCTGCTTCAGTGGAGGAGCTTACAACAGTAGATTGTTTCTTACAACCACAGTGGACTAGATTGGATCTAAGATAGAGGGAAAAACCAATGGTCGATCTCCGGTCACCAGGATCCCCTGCCCAGTCTACATTACAGTATGCAAAGATTTGCAAAGAACTAGGACAAAATTGGACACCAAAAATTGAAGTGCCTCAAATGTATCT